CGTGCAGGACCCTTAATCTCCGGCGCTATCTATAAATGTTAATTAACACCTCTTCTCGTCGCCGGATGTTACGTATATGTACATGGTTCACATTCGTCACCAATCGACCCTTTCCGTAACCTGCAAGAAGACTCGTCCCCCTATCGATGAATGTTAATGAATGTGTGAAAATACGACAAACAAATCCGAATGCGCGTATGTTTTCAAGTTCTTAGTCAAAGAATCCCTCAGAAATAATTTTTGATTTTACATATGTCTTGCATCTAAAAATATACCCACGACACAGTTAAATGTGTTCAATCATACTGTATAATTCCGCATGTCCCGATGTGCTTTAAATTGCATCTGAAATATATATAATATATGGGGAAATATATGTGAACCATTACGCAACGAGTTGACAATTGTTTTAGGTATGCCCGTTTGCGCTAAGAAGGAACCCGGTCGCAAAAATGGCCACGAGAGGGACACGAGTCGCTGTTCGGCTTGTCCCGGAATCACACGAGTTGGTCACGGATGCGTGGTTCACTGACCCTACACCACGTTAAGTAATTCCTCTATCTTCAAAACCTGACTGGTATCGTCATTAAGAGAGACGGACTCAGATCATCGTTAGAAGCGGGCGGATTGTACGGCTAGTCGACGATGAAGATTCGCCGTTCGACTTCCTGCCTAGGGGCAAGTGACAGAACGGGTCTCAGCACCGGGAACATATTGGCAACTCGGCCCCGGTGTCACGTGATTACCATCACTTGTACCATTCCGACTATTTCAACCTGCAACACTAAACATTGCTGCTGTATTCAACCTTTCAACCCTGAGTTTTGCCTTCCTTGATCACCCTGAACTACCTTCCGAGGACGAAACGTACGCGCTTGGGCAGTATAAACACCACTAGGGACAGGGGCGGTGGGGTAGCCTAGTGGTTAAAGCACTCACTCGTCACGCCGAAGGCCCGGGTTCGATTCCCGACATGGGTACAATGTGGGAAGCCTATTTCTGGTGTCCCCCGCCGGGATATTGCTGGAATATTGCTAAAAGCGGCGAAAAAACTCCCTCCCTCCTTCTCTCCCTCCCTTCTTCCTTCCCTCACTCACTCACTCACTCCTTCTCTCCCTCCCTTCTTCCCTCACTCACTCACTCCTTCTCTCCCTACCTCCCTCACTCACTCACACGGGACAGGTACTCACTCACTCACTCACTCACTCACTCACTCACTCACTCACTCACTCGGGACAGATAATCTTTAATTCATCGTAGCTCTTTGGTTGCTGAAAGGCCGTGACATGAAATTTGGAATGAAAAGGTTTATTTTACGATGACTTTGGTCACTACATATTTTAGTCAGAAGTTAACATACATAATATAATAGAATAGGAACATATCACACAAATTACATCATTAGTCAGACGCTCAGTTACTGTTTGTTTTGTTTGTTGTTTAACGCCACACTCAGCAATATTCCAGCTATATGACGACGGTTTGTAAATAATCGAGTCTGGACCAGACAATCCAGAGATTGACATCATTAGCATCGATCCACCCAATTGGGATACGATGACATGCATCAACCAAGTCAGCGCGCCTGACCACCCGATCCCGTTACTCGCCTCTTACTACATGCATTGTCGCCTTTCATGAATGGAGTGCAAACCCTGGAAGTCACGTGGGATTGCGTTATTACTAAATCTCGTGGGTTGTGTTTTTGACATGATGTACCCCAGTTCTGAAAAAAATTACTACATGGGAACTTTAAGGAATATGCTCATCATTACATGATAGGGGAAATGAAATGAAATATGCATTGTTTATTTTCTATGTCTGCAAGCATATTTCTATCTCAAACAAATTGATTATGGTGACATTTTCAAAGTGGGACACGCTGTCGATGGGATGTACATGTGTTTCGTTGGGCCTTACAGGGTAGAAAGCAGTTTCCAAGAACATCAAGAGGTTTGAAATGACTTGACATGAAATGACAGAGGTTTGCACACTGCATCCACAAAGGCAGCCCCAGACGGAAGAGCAGGTGTATTATGATTTCATGAAGAACTATTAAGACAAAAATCGATAGACAAATTGGCGCAGGTATACTTTCCTCATGGTTCTGATACACAGTGCATTATGTGTCTTCAATGTATTGAAGTCGCAACCACGCTGGGGTTCTTGGAATCGATTTTGCTCTTGCAGTCTGGGGGTTCAGTTGCATCTTTGTCTGTTTTCATCTCATGCATGTTCCATCCGCTGAGATTGAGAAAAAATGTTACTGGACTCTGATATATGGGACTGAGAGGTTAAATTCGTACACTATTTTGTTGAGGGTAAAGTATTCTTGAATTTGGACCAACTGACTTGAAACAATGTCTTTATTTCCTTATGAATACGAAGAATTTCCTCGTAGAATCCGAAGTCAAATATTATCCCACTTGACAAACTTAAGGAAAAACTTCATTCAAGCTTAGTCTGAAACGGAAGTCGCCAGGTTGAAACGAGTGCCGTAAAGCTCGAGAAAGCTGCTTTCTAAATGCGTGTCGACTTCTTGTTAGTCATTCCAGTGGTTGGTCAAAGTTCGCGAAAGGTCGTTCTGACGTGACCCGTACTGGAATGTCCTCAGATCTTTGTTTAGCGGCAAGGAGAACTTAGATCTGATTTTAATGAGATTGATATGATATATGGCGGAAATATACGTGAATCATTACGCAACGAGTTGACAATTCTTTTAGCTATGGCCGTTTGCGCTAAGACGGAACCCAGTCGCAAAAATGGCCACGAGAGGGGCACCATTCGTGACCATCTCGTTTTATTCCGGGACAAGCCGAATAGCGCCTCGAGCCCCTCTCATGGCCATTTTTGCGACCGGGTTCCGTCTTAGCGCAAACGGACATACCTAAAATAATTGTCAACTCGTCGCGTTATGGTTCACATGTATTTCCCCATATATTATATATATTTCAGATGTAATTTAAAGCACATCGGGACATGCGGAATTATACAGTATGATTGAACACATTTAACTGTGTCTTATATATATATATTCTCTGTAATTAGTTGCAATTGTGTGTTATCAACAAATATAAACAGAGCACGGTAAACATAATCACTTAAGTTAAAATCGTGGGAAAATCAGAGAAGTTTCGTTGAAAGATACCTACCCTTGAGTACGCTTTTTACAACAGTGCGTTTCGCGGTGGTGTACTCCTCCCAAACGTCGGTCCCTACTCTTTCCACAAGTTAATGTTTTAATATCTTTTTAACGATTTTAATTAGCCCAGTACGGTCTTTTTTGAAGGAAAGTAAAACAAGATTGATCCGTATTCTTGTCGTTGACAAGTTTAATACTTATGATCAGAGAACTGAAACTGTTCAACACTGGTCATGTACCAAACCAATTTAAAAAAGCGGGTAAAACAATAAATGTTTCTGAAAAGATGCTGCTTGTTCAGCCCACGTCCCCTTCAATTTCAAACCCTGTTTTAACGTTACAAAAAGCGACCAGGGCCCTGTTCCTCAAAGCGATCTTAGCACTAAGATGATTGTAAGTCCCATACTTTAACATAGGCTTACGATCATCGTAGTGCTAAGATCGCTTTCAGGAACGGGGCCTAGCTCCACGGAAGCTGCGTGTCTGCGTAAAATTACGCAAATGAATTTAACATTGCCTGGACGTTCTACAATGTCTGCACATACAAATAAATTTGTTCGCTGAAAATAATGTCTAAATGAAATAAAATAAACACATAAAATTCTGCATAGCTACTTATCTCTTCTTTACCCACTTGGGGCGGTTGGGTAGCCTGGTGGTTAAAGCGTTCGCTCGTCACGCCGAAGACCCGGCTTCGATTCCCGACATGGGTACAATGTGTGAAGCCCATTTCTGGTGTCCCCCGTCGTGATATTGCTGGAATATTGCTAAAAGCGGCGAAAAAACCATACTCACTCACTCACTCGGGACAGATAATCTGTAATTCATAGTAGCTCGTTGGTTGCTGAAAGGCTGACATGATATTCTGTATGAAAAGGTTTATTTTTTTAACGACTTTGGTCACTACTTGATGTCACATATGGCTATTTCCATCCATCAGTGATGGACAGCAGTTCAATGGGAGAGAAAATGTAAGGTCTTACTTTCTGTTAGACCCCAATACCCGCTTAAACGACATCAAGCTGCCCTGAATTGTATACTTACGTGGTTTGTTTTTACAGATTAAGATTATGAATTAATCTGTAATTAACATAGATGCCATACCACATTAATTATCAAATCAAGTATCTATACATGTTTATGCTAATTAGGAGTATACATGCGCTATTACTGAGGATTGTAGTGGAGCATCAAGTTCTTGGCGATAAAGATTGAATATCGATCTGTGTTGCCAAGAAGGTAATTAGCTCATTCCCTAATGACTGAAATCTGAACGCTGGGTATAGGATTTGCTGTCGACCTTCCCACTCACAACAAGTGTCTAGAATATGGTCTGTAGCCTTGGTTCTAGTGAGACTAAGCCCTCACACGGTATCGACATATTTCCTCGGAAGATGGAAATTGTCGATTCCTCTTATTTAACTGGGCCTTGAGCCAATAGACATTGGCTATACGGAGACGGTGACGTTGACTATGTCACTGTTCAGAATGCACATTAAACTTTCGTCAACGAAATAACATTAATGGTATTTTAGTTGCAGCTGCAAAATGATGCTACTGGTAGTTTGCATACATACTAAAGGAAAATATAACATGACATTAACGATTGGTGGTTGATGGTTGGTGGTTGATGGTTGGTGGTTGATGGTTGGTTGTTGACGGTTGGTGGTTGACGGTTGGTGGTTGACGGTTGGTGGTTGGTGGTTGGTGGTTGACGGTTGGTGGTTGACGGTTGGTGGTTGATGGTTGGTGGTTGACGGTTGGTGGTTGGTGGTTGGTGGTTGACGGTTGGTGGTTGGTGGTTGACGGTTGGTTGTTGACGGTTGGTGGTTGATGGTTGACGATTAGTGGTTGACGATTAGTGGTTGACGGTTGGTGGTTGATGGTTGACGATTGGTGGTTGACGATTGGTGGTTGACGTTTGGTGGTTGACGTTTGGTGGGAGATAGTCGGTGGTTGACGGTTGGTGGTTGATGGTTGGTGGTTGATGGTTGGTGGTTGATCGTTGGTGGTTGACGATTGGTGGTTGACGATTGGTGGTTGATGGTTGGTGGTTGATGGTTGGTGGTTGAGGATTGGTGGTAGACGATTGGTGGTTGACGATTGGTGGTTGACGTTTGGTGGTTGGCGTTTGGTGGGAGATAGTCGGTGGTTGACGGTTTGTGGTTGACGATTGGTGGTTGACGATTGGTGGTTGACGATCGGTGGTTGACGATCGGTGGTTGACGATTGGTGGTTGACGGTTGGTGGTAGACGATTGGTGGTTTACGATTGGTGGTAGACGATTTGTGGATGATGGTTGGTGGTAGACGGTTGGTGGTTGACGGTTGGTGGTAGACGATTGGTGGTAGACGATTGGTGGTTGACGGTTGGTGGTTGAGGATTGGTGGTTGACGATCGGTGGTTGACGATTGGTGGTTGACGATTGGTGGTAGACGATTGGTGGTTGACGGTTGGTGGTTGACGATTGGTGGTTGATGGTTAGTGGTTGACGATCAGTGGTAGACGATTGGTGGTTGACGGTTGGTGGTTGAGGATTGGTGGTTGACGATCGGTGGTTGACGATTGGTGGTAGACGATTGGTGGTTGAGGATTGGTGGTTGACGATCGGTGGTTGACGATCGGTGGTTGACGATCGGTGGTTGACGATTGGTGGTAGACGTTTGGTGGTTGACGATTGGAGTTTACGATTGGTGGTTGACGCTTGGTGGTTGACGTTTTGTGGTTGACGTTTGGTGGTAGACGTTTGGTGGTAGACGATTGGTGGTAGACGGTCGGTGGTTAACGATTGGTGGTTCACGTTTGGTGGTTGTCGATTGGTGGTTAACGATTGGTGGTTCACGTTTGGTGGTTGTCGATTGGTGGTTCACGTTTGGTGGTTGACGATTGGTGGTTGACGATTGATGGTTCACAATTGGTGGTTCACGATAAGTGGTTCACGATTGGTGGCCTGAAACTGTGAACAAGGTATACATGTTTCTCGTTTACAGTTATTCCAATTCTTGTCATGGTACTTCGACTTTGGTTTTGGGGTTTGGTCTAGGTATGCCGCTGGGGTTACTCATAATTGTTCTCATTTTCTCTTATATGTCATTATGCCAATCTATCCATCGAGTGCCGTAATGTGGCGGAACCTAATCATAGAGTAATAAGAAAAGTGTAATGGCATTTTACGTCAGTTAGATCAATGGTGGGCCAATCAAATAAGCATTTATGGATTTATGTCTTGCATATTATGCCAAAATACCTTGTGGTAGAAGGTTATGTTACTATTGGGCTGCTGCACATTGTAATTACTATGTGAACATGCAAATCATCCCACTAAAGTCATTGTTACTGTTGACCGCCTCCGTGGTCTAGTGGTAGAGCGTCCGCCCGGAGATCCCCGATAAAAGATGGTACTTGTTGTTACCCTGTCTGGCGTTCGGCATTAAGGGCTAAAACAAGGACTGGTCGGCTCGGAGTCACTACACTGTGTCTGAGTGGGGTATCCATGTTAAACTGCGGCATGGTATCTCAGTGAGCTAGCACTATAAATCGGCATCACTCCGGACTAGTACAAGCAGCCACACAAACACACACACGTACATGCACGTCGCTATATAAGTGCAATAATCTTGGACGCGACGTTAAACCCCATTTCACCTCACCCATTGTTACTATTCTAAAATGGATTCATGTTGTTGCGTATGGGTAGTTGCTACTTTTTGTTTGTTGTTGTTTAACGCCGCACTCAGCCATATTACAGCTATATGACGGTGTTCTGTAAATAATCGAAGCTAGACTAGACATTCCAGTGATTGACACCATTACCAACCAACCCAGCGAGCCTGACCTGCCGATCCCGTTCGTCGTCTCTTACGACATGCATGGATTGCTCTAGACCATTTCTAACCCGGATCTTCACGGATAGATTTGCTACTAGGCTTCAGGCATTCGTGACCAACACGTGTTATTCTGGGACAAGCCGAATAGCGACTCGTGCCCCTCTCATGGCCATTTTTGCGACCGGGTTCCGTCTTAGAGCAAACGGGCATACCTAAAACAATTGTCAACTCGTTGCGTAATGGTTCACATATATTTCCCCATATATTATATATATTTCAGATGCAATTTAAAGCACATCGGGACATGCGGAATTATATAGTGTGATTTAACACACTTAACTGTGTCTTGGGTATATTTTTAGATGCAAGACATATGTAAAATCAAAAGTTAATTCTGAGGGATTCTTTGATGAAGAACTTGAAATCATACGCGCATTTTGTTTGGTTTGTCGTATTTTCGCACATAACATTCATCGATAGGGGGACGAGTCTTCTTGCAGGTTACGGAAAGGGGCGAGGTGTGACGAATGGGCTTCAGGAAGAGGTAACATTAGTTTACATTACTATATGATGTGCAGTGTCTGAGACATATGACTTTAAAGATGCGGTCACTTGAGCTATCCTGCACAAGAACATCCTTTATATGTATCAATGCACCCTATTACACAATACAACATATCAGTTTCACATTGGATAAAAATACACACGCCATAACGTAGTCGCTACAAAATCAGTAGATTGGTATGTAACAGGTACCTTGTTTATGTGATCTATAACTCGATTCATAACTAGCAAATAAAATAAATACATTCACCAATCATTCATTATCAAAACGATAGCTCCAAATCAATCAAGCTGGCAATCTAATTAAAATCAGATATTTAACGCCAATATAATCCCTCACTGTGCGAAGATCTGAAAAAGCATCCATGAGAGGTCCCGCCAGGTGAATTTTCTAAGCAAACAATCAACGTCGAGGCTTCTAAATTCTCGATACATGGAAACAAAGCACTCAGAGCATCATATCTGATATCTGTTTCTGGAAATGAACACGAGCGAGCAGTACCGAATGAAAATAATAAAAACCGTGCTTTTATATTGTTGTGGATATTATAAACACCGTGATGTCTCTGAGACCATGGCATTTCCGTCATCGTGTTGTGAAGAAATGATGCCGACTGGTTTCAGAAAGGTATCTGATTGGTTCAAACTTAAGAGTGCACGCATCGTCGATTAGATAGGGCTTGCAAAGTACGCTCAGTGTTCCTCTCACGTGACCCCCAATTGAGGCTTGTCACATCGGAGTGAAAGGCCTGGTTTTATTGACATTGGTGAATTGCCGTCATGCAATATGACAGAGGTCAGTATGAGTGAGTGAGTATGGTTTTACGCCGCTTTTAGCAATATTTCAGCAATATCACGGCGGGGGACACCAGAAATGGGCTTCACACATTGTACCCATGTCGGGAATCGAACCCGGGTCTTCGGCGTGATGAGCGAACGCTTTAACCACTAGGCTACCCGACCGCCCCTAGGTCAGTATGAAGTTGAAAACGTCTCTCTCAAACAATGTCGATGTCATATATATTTTTTATTGCGCACTTTGTCTTCATGTTATCCTCTCCATTCCGAATACCAGATAAAATGTTGTTGCATCCAAAAGGGTTTTAATTGATTTGTTTATATGTATCATGAAAACCAGTTGAATTATAGTTTTTGTAGAGCTCTGGATCTTCATAAAGAATCTGAAGACTGTTGTTTAATACATTTCGGACGCCAGTATTCCAGGTATATCAGAGAGTGTCAGCTTAATGTGGGAGGAAAGCCCGAAGTGATGCAGGTCTCAGACGTTTACCACTTCGGTGAAACCCACGAGCACGGTATGGTACTGACAAACCTAGAAACATAATCAGGAAAACGAACCGGGATTCGAACCCACAATCATAGGTTTCTGGCTTGCCCAAGGGCTACAACTCTGCACAGCGAATTGCGGCGACTTAGACGACTGGGCCACCCTAATGCGATATGAGACTATGTTGACATCAACTGTGCCATTAACTCTTCTTCAGAAGACATCAACGGTTGGATAGCAACGTGGATCCAAGAATAGAGAGACTCAGTTGATTGCTTCATTTGAAGTCAGGAAACACACATACTTCAACATTTTCTCCGCAAAATAATTATCGGGGAACGAGGACTTACGGATTATATGTCCTCTGTGCAATTAATGTATAAAGTCCTTCGCCAAGGGACAGATGACATGTAATCCCTCGTTGCTCAGTGATAGCCACTGAGTTCACCTATACCAGTACTCCTGTCAAATAGCCAAGCAGAGATGATATCATTGCTTTTTTCAGAGTAAGCAATTGCTGTGTCTCAAGGACAACACAGCTCTGTAACTAACATCAGGCACTATGTTGATGACGACCTTGTAAATAACAAATGCTAAACGTAAATCATTTAAGGAGAGTAGTACATTAGGTTGTTTTGACATATTACTTAAAGGCTGTGTAGTAAATATCAATTAATCCTTCAGTCTTGCCATATACGTCATTTCACTATTGATAAAGTCAGTGTGAGCGAAAAGAAACAGGTTTCACCATTCTTTCCTTTTTTGTCTCCAAACTGAGTGTATTGAGGAAAATATTTAATATTGAACATAATTACATGATATAGTCGGAATCGTACAATCGACTCTGCTTTTGGCAGATATTAGTTATGAATATGGAAAGGTCTTGGGGGCTTTCATTTCGAAGACCGAATTTTTCGTTTTTCTTCTTGAAACATGTTTATAACAAAACAAACATACAAACTGCAAAATGATTGGGGGATTCAGAAGTACAAATGAATACAATGATTATTGTTCTGAAGCAGATGGTGATTATAAAAGCGTCAGTGGTTGTTATTGTGGTGGTGTTGGATGTTGTGTTGTTACAGCGGTAACACCAGAGGTTGTTATTGTGGTGGTGTCGGATGTTGTGTTGTTACAGTGCTAACATCAGAGGTTGTTATTGTGGAGGTGTTAGATGTTGTAGTGTTACAGTGGTAACATCAGTTGTTGTTATTGTAGTGGTGTTGGATGTTGTAGTGTTACAGTGGTAACATCAGTTGTTGTTATTGTGGTTGTGTCAGATGTTGTAGTGTTACAGTGGTAACACCAGTGGTTGTTATTGTGGAGGTGTTAGATGTTGTAGTGTTACAGTGGTAACACCAGAGGTTGTTATTGTGGTGGTGTTAGATGTTGCTTTGTTACAGTGCTAACATCAGAGGTTGTTATTGTGGTGGTGTTAGATGTTGGTTTGTTACAGTGCTAACAACAGAGGTTGTTATTGTGGTGGTGTTAGATGTTGGTTTGTTACAGTGCTAACATCAGAGGTTGTTATTGTGGTGGTGTTAGATGTTGGTTTGTTATAGTGGTAACTTCAGAGATTGTTATTGTGGAGGTGTTAGATGTTGCTTTGTTACAGTGCTAACATCAGAGGTTGTTATTGTGGAGGTGTTAGATGTTGGTTTGTTACAGTGCTAACTTCAGGGGTTGTTATTGTGGTGGTGTTAGATTTTGTGTTGTTACAGTGCTAACTTCAGGGGTTGTTGTTGTGGTGGTGTTAGATTTTGTGTTGTTACAGTGCTAATATCAGAGGTTGTTATTGTGGAGGTGTTAGATGTTGGTTTGTTACAGTGCTAACATCAGTGGGTGTTATTGTGGAGGTGTTGGATGTTGTAGTGTTACAGTGCTAACATTAGTGGTTGTTATTGTGGAGGTGTTGGATGTTGTAGTGTTACAGTGCTAACATCAGAGGTTGTTATTGTGGTGGTGTTGGATGTTGTGTTGTTACAGTGCTAAGATCAGAGGTTGTTATTGTGGTGGTGTTAGATGTTGTGTTGTTACAGTGCTAACATCAGAGGTTGTTATTGTGGTGGCATTAGATGTTGTGTTGTTACAGTGCTAACATCAGTGGTTGTTTTTGTGGTGGTGTTAGATGTTGTATTGTTACAACGGTAACATTAACATTAACAAATATATTATTGATGCAACAGTTCCAGTGTCGGTTTAGATACATCGGCTTAACAAATAGTGGCAATGAAAAGATGAGGGCTTATCGTGAGTGCGCCATCTTTGGATACAGTGGCAAAAGCCCTGGTAGTTGAATCGACCAGTTGTGTCCAGAGCCGTATCTATTAGGTTAGAACCAAGGGTCTGAAATACTTTCCTGGTAATATCAAATCAGGTTCTGGTCGCACTAACGGCCACAGCCTCGATTATCCAGTGTGTTATACCTCAGTTCTATTTTAATAAATACCCAGAACCAATAACTTCGTTACGGAAGTGACGTCACAATCTTATCTCTCCTTTCTCCTTTTAGCACAGAATATCCCCCGCTCATGACAGTAATTTGATTGGACGGCTATTTTAAGGGTTGTCCCATGCGAATCTGTCTCAAAAGGAAACTATAGTGATAAATGTGTCCAGGATATTTATCATAGAATGGAAATAGCTTGCTCTGGATAATCGAGTATGCAAAGGCCAATAAACCACAGCCCTGGACAGACACTATATATGGGGCATCCGGACAGCCCAGCGGTCAAAGACACTTTGGTCTTCCCCCGAACACACGCTAATTAGTTGTGTCCCCTTCAGGAACGTTTTTTGAATATTTCTTGAAGCGTTGTTAAACGTTTTGACTTTTTGAGTGAGTGAGTATGGTTTTACGCCGCTTTTAGCAATATTCCAGCACGGCGGGGAACACCAGAAAGGGGCTTCACATATTGTACCCATGTCAGGAATCGAACCCGGGTCTTCGGCGTGAAGAGCGAACGCTTTAACCA